TACTATTATTTGATTAATTTTTAGAACTCGGATGAGAGATATTTGCTGTTTTCCTAGCAAAAAAATGCCATAAAAGGATAATTTAAACGCTCTACTCTGTCATTTCATCGAATTCGATGTTGACAATAATATATTTCGTTCGTGGGATTTTTTTCCTATTTCCTTATGGCGTTAATGGTGGAGATGAGGAGATTAGAGTTTGCAATAAAACCGTCCAAGGTGCAAATATGCGGCAAGTGCAACGCCCAACTATAATCTCGTGCGTTGACTTAGAATCAGCATGCTCCTCTATATTTCCACTGGATAATGCTAATGCCGCTCAAACACTTCGAGACCAAGCAGATCCGTAACTATTTTTTGAGTCCTTTCTATTCACTTAGAAGAATCGAAATAAATAATTTGAAATATTTATTTCTTTACTTAAATATTTATTTTTTCCTCAGTTCTTCCAAATTTGACTGTGAAAATAAGAAATTATTTGAAATTTCCACAGTTCAAATGAGAAGTGTTCAAAAAATTGAGGTTTTAGCACGGCAGCCTACAAAGTAAGTGAAAAATGTTACGAAGCTGCTTTAATGAGATTTGCCGAAGAGTTTTGTCCGCAGACATGTGCGATGTGCTGCAAAACAAAGGAATATAACTGCAACAATCGTTGGTTGAAAAAAAAATTGAATTTCTTTCTTTTCCTTTAGCAGAAATCGTAAATAAATTACGATTGGGATGATTATTATCAACTGATTAAAATACCAAAAATCTTTTCTTTAGTTGGACAGTGTGAAGGTTTTACGCAAACCATGTGCGGCGATCCCCGCTTATATGAAATAGCGCTGATAAGTTGCCCACAAACCTGTGGACTTTGCAATAGACCTGGAGCGGGAGGGACGTGTCCAGACACCATCAGCGGTTGCGATAGGTTGGCAATATTTTGTACCGATACCAATGTCAAAAGATTATGCCAGAAAACCTGCTTCTCACGAGACTGCCTTGCAAATCAAACAAGTGGGTGATTATTATCAAAGGTTAATGCGACAAAAATCTTGCATTATCATAAAAAAGATATTAAGAAACTAATGCCACTACAATTATTCAAAATTCTAAAAAATATTATACTAGCATATATTCCATATATTTCGTCATGGAAGCTAAAATATTATTAAAAAATGCCTAAAATTTCTATAATATCTTTAAATCTTGCAAAAATTAATCGAAAATGATAAAAATGATAAAAAGGTGAACGATGTTGCATTGCTCAAAATTAATCGAATCTTCTGCAAAATCATTTTCAAATTTTTTTAGGATATCAAATTGACAGCAATTTAAGAATTTATTTTGACAAAATTCATTTTTATTTTTAAATTTGCTTACAATATTCGGATATACCACTATGCTTCCATCTTTAAAATCGTGCAGAAACCTAATAATAGTTCTATTTACAACAGTATCGCCTGCTGGAAGCTGTCGTGATGAGCATGCCGACTGCACAAAGTATCGCAATCTTTGCAGTATTGGCGATTATGGAACTGTTATGCGAGTTAAATGTCGGTTCACTTGCGGTCTATGTCGATAAATTGAGAATGAAACAATTAGAAAAAATTTTTTTTTTCTATCGAATAAACGTTTACTGTTGAAAAATTGAAGAACAAATATAAAATTTTCTTTTAAATCAATTTTTGCAAGTCCTTTTATGGCGTTAAGCGTTAAGTTTCTTAATTACTCACAGACTTACTCACAAATTTGGTGATAGATATCTACCAGGCTTTTCTACGAAAATATAGTGACACCGTTCGGTGTTATAAACTACCGGGAAGCGGATTAGTAAAGAAATCTGGGCAAGTTCCGTTTGCTCAGTTTCCAATGAGCGCTATGCTTGACAAATAGCTAACCAGAGAATTTTTTCTAAGAACACTCAACCCTCAACCCTCAATATCTGTGGCCAGGCTCGCTCCACTGACATGTCGGATCATACAAATTCTATTAGCAAATCATTCGGCGATTTTGTGCTAAAATTAACAAGCAATTCGGATAAAAAAACTATTAAATATTTTCCGCAATTACCCATTTTTGGAAGAGTACTCATTTCATTTCTAATTATAATATTGGCATTAACACCATTTTTGTTAATTGCATCAGTTGTTTTTTAAAGAACTGCAAAAAAATGAATTTTACCAAATGATTTTTTGCTACTAAATTAAGAGTGGAATCAGAATTTTCGAGTTTTTATCACTTTTATCACTTTAAATATTTAAAAAAAATATTGCAAATGAATATTTAATATAATTAATATAAAGTATCATTGTGAGCTTTAAATAGAACCAAACAGATCCTTAATATTATATTAACTAATGTTATTGATAATACTGAAAATTAGAAAGCATAATTCGTTCAAATCAATGGGTAGCGATATTCTCGGATTTCAGGTCGAAAATTTTCATGCGAATTAACTACTATTTTTATTACTTATATCATTTTTCCAAGTTCGTAGTATCCTTAAAGAACTTAAAAAATAATGCGAAATAATTCATTGTTGTCAAATCAAGCGTAAAATTTAAATTTTCGAGTTTTTTATCACTGAAAAGCTGGAAAAATCGATTATCGGATCGATTGTTATCATTACATTATATTTGCATATCAAACTATTTGAACCGAATAAGCGTCAAAAGTTTTTCAAAAACTATATTTGAGCAGCTGATGATTTCAACTACAGAAGTGATAATGTTTATCACTTTTTTTACTAATTGGAATATGAAAGACAAATAAAAATTGAGTATAAAAAGCAAAATTTATAGGTCGGAAATTATTTGACTTCAATCTTGCTCACTTATTTATTTATCCTTGCATCATTATGCAACCTTGCCAGCGGAGATGGTGCCGAGATATACATTTGCATTATGCTTGTTCCTGCACCTGCTAACGCTTTTAAAAGAAAGCCTACAGTATGTGTTGAGAATTGCCAAGATCGTGACGCGACTTACTCCGAAATATTCAAATTCAATAATGCGATGGTGCTCGTAGATAATCTTAAACCGTACATTTTTGAGGTTTTATGATTTTATTTTTTATTTTAATATAAATATACAAATATATATTGCTGAATTCACATATAATAACCATTATTAAAATAGAATAACAATAGAATAATCAGTGGATAAATCCTCGAATTTTAATGATTATCCAAGGCAAGAAAAATTGAATGAAATTTGAGGTTTATCAAAATATTTTTTTTGTAAATTTTGAAATTTTTTCATATTTTTTTTTTCTGTTCTGAAAGAAAAGAGAAGTTTATTACTTTCTAACAATATAGATTATAAAGTTCCAGACAACTGTTCCAGAAAACATAGAATATTAGAACATAGAAACATAGAATAGAATACATATAGAATATTAGCTCGCCAAAAGCGTCCACGAACGTGTGCGACATGTTACTTAACTAATGAATATAACTGCAAAAATGGTAAGAACTAAGCCATTCTTAGTGGTTTAATTCACTTGCTATGTAACATATTTAGTACAATTCATTTAAAAGCGAAACGTGTGGTTGAAAAGTTGATTGGGGAAATTTTTATTGGGGATCGAGATGGTCCATGCAAAAATTTATCTAGGATAATGTGTAGTCATTTTCTAAACCTTGTATTGCAAAATTGCCCGTAGACCTGCGGTCTTTGTCAGTTGCCTGGTGCTTGCAAATATATGCCCGACACTATCGATGGTTGTGATGTTCCGGTACAATTAGGTATTTAGTCTGACAATAGAATAAAGAATATGTGCCAGAGAATGAGATTGTCTCACAAGTCAAACAAGTGGATTACTAGTTATTAGTGAATATTAATAGGTCAGAAAAGGCATTAGCATCGGTTAACATTATTTTTTTTTTTTTAAAGAGTCACACCATTGCTGGGGTTATCACCTTTTCTTTTAAAGAATCCTCACTATTACTGGTTGAACTCACTCCACTGGCTTGTCGCATTGAGCAAATATGCCAGGGAGTTCTTTGACGATAGAAATACAGGTGAGTCGCCAGCATCACCTGGATTTTTGTACAGGTCTACTCCTGCGGGAAATCGAACCTCAGCATCATCGCTCCCATTTGAACATTTTCTATACATGTTTTATCTTAAAATTTCAAGGATAATAACACAATGATAATTATTAATAATGATAATAACAACAATAAATAATAATAAAAGATTAAATTAAACAAAATTTTAATTATTTCTATTTTAAAAAATTTTAATAAATAAAATATATAAATATAGGATTCCAAATAATTATAAATATAGGATTATAGGATTCTAACTTTTCTAAATGCAAATTTCCAATTCTCATTAATTTGCAGCCGATTTTCTTATTTTTTTAAATTATTATTATTATTTTTTCATTTATTTTTGACCATTCAAAATGACCAATTCACAAAGAATCATTTATTCTTCCAAAGAAATTTTAGTAAACGAAAAAATGATAAACGGTTGTTTTTATTTTTTAAGGGACTGCATTAATCAATTAATTAATTATTTTTTCTTAAATTGCTTAAATAATTTTATGCAAAAAACCTATTTGAATAATTTTATTTCATTAATATAAATTGCGAATTTCAAGTAGAAAAACGAATTTTCGCTGAATAATACTAATAATTAATGAGTAGTAATTCACTCAAATTAAGATATTCTTCGATTTCGAATTTTTTATTATTTTTTAAATGAAATAACTGATTTCACTTTTCGAAATTTATTGCTTCTTCAAAAAAGTACAAAAAAATAAGATAAACCGCAATAATTCTTTGTTATTGAACTCAATAGAAGATTTATAGTGTCGAGTTTTTTGTCGCTGAAAATTCGATTAGTGGATAATTTTTATCATTGTTGATTACATATCAATCGATCCATCTGCCAAAAACTATATTTGAACAGACGAATGTAGAAATTTCAAATGTAGAAATAACAACGTTTATCTTTTTTTTCTCATTGAAATATGAAAAACAAATAAAAATTGACTATAAAAGCCGATTATGATCGGGAATAAATTATTCGACGGATGAAATACGTGCTAGCTTCTTTCGTTCTTAATAATGGAAATGATAAGGAAATAGATATTTGCGTTCTCTTTGTTCCTGCAGCCAATGCATGTAAAGGCAGGCCTAAAGTTTGAGAATTGCAAGGTCATTATGGGGCAGCTTGGTCTAAGATATGAAAATTGTCAACAATGCTGGATTAGTACTTGCGCAAAATCTTAATTTTCTCAACTTTTCGATTTTCTGTTCATTTCAATATGAATATATAATAATGAGGAATGAGAATGTATTATTTTACATAGGATTGTTAAATCTAAATGATTATCGAATTTATTATTAAAATATTTTTTAAAATTTCGTTAAAAGTAAAATTTACAAAAATAAAAAAATTCCTATTGCATTTTGGTTGGAGATAATCCATGCAGAAATTTTTCAACGGCAATGTGTAGTTTGCACAACCCGCGGCATTTGTCATTTGCCTGGTGCTGCAAACATATGTCAACGGTTGTGATGAGGTGCAACTGGGGTTTATTTATGATAATAAATTAAAGAATATTTTTTATTTTGTATTTATCGATTAATAAATATTTATTTGGAATTATATTATATTATCATTAATAGAGTTTGCACATATTATATGCAATAACCGCACGTTCTTGCACATTGTTGCATCATTGTTGTTCGAAACATACCGCCACAGTTATTTGTGGCTCTAATCGTGGCACAGTTCTGCCTTTCGTCTCTGCAAGTTGTCGGTGGAGATGATAAAGTTGTCACTGAAATATATGAAAAGATAAGAATTTCCAATTTATTTCTATCTCCTTAAATGTTTTTTAAAAAATTATCTGAAATTACTTGTTAAGCAGTCGCGCGACCCGCAAGTTCTCTGGCACATATTTTTCAATTTGTTGTCAGAACAAATACCCAATCGCACCAAAACATCACAACCATCGATAGTATCGGGGCACATATTTGCAGCACCAGGTAAATGACAAAGGCCACAAGTCTGTGGACAAAGTCGTAATGCAAGGCTTGGGAACTGAGAACACATTGCCCTTGAAAAATTTCTGCATGCACCATCCTGACCCCCAACTGAAATGAAATAATTTTAGGCAATATTCTTGTTTTTTAGAATTTTTTCCTTTTTTTTCATCATTTCAGTGAAATGATTTATGAATAAATCGATTTGCAAGAAAAACTAATTTAAGAAATGCAAGGCGAACAAGACCTAGAAAAAGCCTAGAAAAAATACATATTTGATATTTATTTATGAATTATATCAGTAAGAATTACTACGTTCTTACCATTTTGGCAATTATATTCTTTAGTCAAGCAACATGTCGCACACATTCGTGGACACATTTGTCGAGCCAACATTATAAATGGTTCCATCTGGCATCTATCTCGAACTTGATAATTCGTGTTACTGCAATAAAAGATTTAAAAACCAGATTTTTTTAAATCTTCAGTCTTTTTTAAAATTTTTTGAAGCAAACTAGAAAGAAACTTAGATTTGCTTAAAATTTGCTTTTTGTGGTTCAATAAAATATTCCTGCGTTCCATGTTTATGAAATTAAATGAATTGGTTCCTTTGGCATGAGAAAATTAGATTTTTCATTTGTATTTTTATTTTAAAGAAAAAGAAAAAAGTATAAAAAAGAAAAAATCGTTTTCCAAATTTAAGAATTTTAGCTTTAATCATAAAATTCCACCAATTTTCTTAGCAAAGTAGAATCGACAAAATTCGGTGACTTTTTAAGTGATTTTTCTCTTAATTGCAATGAATATAACGGTTAATGTAGTGATAGTTCCCTATTTTTCCAATGAAAATAAAATTTAAAAAACCAAAAAACTCACGGCATAAGGTTTTGTGCGAGTATCATCCCAGGATCATTGTCCTGGGGCTTGAATATTTCGAAGCAAGCTACTGTATCGCGATCTTGACAATTTTCAACAGGCACTGAAGGTCTTACTACAACAATATTTCGTTGATTTTGCTGAACGGTTACAGAGATGGAGCAAACTTTTATATTTTCGGCACCTCCGTTAGCAATACCATACAAGGAAGCAAAGACAAATAAGGAAATGAACATAATCGCTAATAGATTTTAATTTATTTCAGACCTATAAATTAGTCCTTTTTATAATTATGAAATTGATCTTATTTTAACCAATCAAAAAAATTGATAAACATTATCACAGTGCTCCATTTCAAATTATCAGCTGGTCAAACCTAAATTTTTGACAACATATTCAGTTAAGTTCAATTGATATGCATGTAATCACCAATATTAATTATTGGTTAAACGATTTTTTCATTTTTTAGTTGATTGCAATTCTTAGAAGTGTCAATTTTTCATTAATTTTGTACTCTTCCAAAAATTGGAATTTTTGATGAATATTGTATGATTATTCGATTTGTCTTCGAATTTATTGGTAAGAAATGATAAATTGTTACTGGTTACACAACAAATATTGTCTGCAATATAATTTAAGAAATTCATATTGTACAAGAAGTTTGTAACCTTGGGCTTTTAGCATGCGATTATTTGTCGTTAATATATTCAGTTCAATTTTTATTATTCTGAATGGAAATGGTAATTTGCGTACCACAAAACCAACCAATTCTATTGAGATTATTTTCTTGTGGAGAAAGATTGTCCAGTATTCTATGAGAATAAAAAATTTTTATAATTAACAGTATCAGCATGGAGATAAATTGTAGAACTTAACATAACTGTGGTAATAACACTAACATATAATGATAAAATAATAATAATAATAATAATAATAAAGGATTATAAAGGAAATGAAATGATGCATATGATAATATTTATTTTTCATGATTTATGACGATTTATGATCCTTTATCGCTTTATCGCTTCAATTTTTATCAGATAATTCATGCATTAAAAAATTATCAATGGGCGTTTTATTTTCCTCATTTTAAAATAAACCACCATAAAAATTAGAGTTGAATTTTATGAAATACATTAAGCAGAACTCTAATAAAAATAATGCGCAGCCATCCACAATTAGCAATTTTTGCACAAAAGAAATGATATTTGTTGAACTATGCAATAGAAATTCTTTCTAAAAGATTCTTCCTCCTCATCGCAAAATGTGTTTACCAGTGTATCACTTTTTTATTAAGCGGATTCACCTATAATAATATTTTTATTTAAAAAAATGCATTTAAAAAAAATTTAAAGCGATTTGTTATGCCTAAAAGTCGGCAAAGGAAAACTATTGAAAAAATCAAATTTTATTTAATTTTATTTTTTGAAGAAATAAGATTATAATTAATTTATAAATTTTATATAATTTTGTTATGCGTTTGACAAAAAAATTTTATGCCTTTTGAATACGACTGGTTATTATTTGATTAGCTGATATTTACACTTTATCATATCACAAAAAATAGTTAAAAAATCATAATATAAATGCTCTACAGTTATTATTTCCTTAATAGTGGCGCTGATTATGATATGCTTCGTTTGTGGGATTCTTTTCTTCTTTCCATACAGTACGAACGCTGCCGCTGATGAAGTGATTAAAGAATGTAATAAAGCCGTCCAGCTTGCTGCTGGAGGAGCGGTACAACGTCCAACTATAGCCTCATGTTTCGATCTGAACACAGCATGCACCTCTATATTTACGTTGGATGGAAATGGCGTCGACACACTCCGAGACCAAGCGAATCCGTAAAAAATTGTTTTTCTTCTAGCCACTCTTTTTTTTCACTTTTTAAAGTTCTTATAACAGCTGTCAAAAGTAGAATATAATTTCAAGTATCAAGCGAAAAATGGTTTAAAAAAATATTTTTTTATTTTTTAAATGTTTTATTTTTTATTAGTGTTTATTTTTTTTCTAGCATGGCAAACTATAAAGTAAGTGCAAAATGTTACGAAGCTCCGTTAATGACATTCGCGAAAGAGTTATATCCAAAGAATAATGGAAATTGGATTTTTTCTCATTTTTCTAACATCAATCATTTATTGTGATTGAGATTACTACCAATTAAAAGTAGCTATGTGCCTAGGAGTGGTTATCCACCAGTCGTTTGATTTGCTACCATAGCAGAGAATAAAAAATATGTCGTCCAAATTCGAAGTATTTCCTCCCCACATGGCAATCTAGTTATTCATTAACTCGCTGCTTTTTATACACATGAAAATAAATTCAAAAAAATATATTGGGAATGGCGAAAAACAGTTAATTCCCTAATTCCCTAATTAAACGAAAAAATAATTATCAGTTGATCAAAAAAGCTTTATTGTGAAGTGAAACTTTTTTTTAGCTGGTCCATGCGACAGTTTTACGGAATCCCTATGCCGCGATCCTCATTTGCATGATATAGCACTTCAAAGATGTGCACAAACCTGCGGATTTTGCAACAGGCCTGGAGCTGGAGGAGGCTGTCCAGATACTATTAATGGATGCGAAGGGTTGGCCGCATTTTGTACCGATAGCAATGTCAGAAGGCTATGCCAGAAAACCTGTTTCTCACTAGATTGCCTAACAAATCAAACAAGTAAATTAATAGTAGAATTATTATCGAAGGTTAATAGGACAAAAAATTTTCATTATCTTAAGAAAGGCATTCAGAAAAAAACGCTTAGCATTGTCCAGAATTTTGAATAATGCTATTCTTCGATTGCCAAAAAAGATTCACGCACTTTACGGCAATGCATTTTTTTATAACTTAAAACTTTTGAAATCCATTATTTAATGGTTATGAAAAATTGATAGAAATTAGTAAAAATTGATAAAAATTGATACTTAAAAATGATGATAAAAAATAAAAAAGTTCTGCATTGCGCAAAAATATTTGAATTTTTTTTCAAAATCATTTTTCGTTCTTTTTTACTGAATATTGAGGTGATAACAAAATATAATTCCGATTTTAGACAAATTCAAGTTTTAATAACAAATTTATAGTCAATAGAATTTGAATAATTGGTTTCAAGCATAGCAGCATATCTCCACACCCTTATTACAAACATAACAAAAATTTCTGTTTATAGCAATATCGTCTACTGGAAATTGCCGCGATGAGCATGCCGATTGTCCAAAATATCGCAATCTTTGCAATATTGGTGATTATGCGACTCATATGAGGGTTAAATGCCGAATGACTTGTGATTTGTGTCGATAAGTTGAAAATGAAAGAAATATTTTATTCTGTCTTTTGAATAAATTTTTTCCGTCGAAAATTGAAAGTAAAAAAACTTTTTGAACTTCTTTGGAAGTAAAATAAAAGCAAATTTTCATTAAACTCTTATTAGTTTCCAGTCAATTATTTTTGTTATGATTATTTATTATTATTTATCGCTATTCCCATATTTTTATTTTTTTTAGAGTTCTCACCATTACTGGTTAAACTCGCTCTTTATTGCACTGGGCAATATACCGGGGAATCCCTTGGTGATAGAAATACAGGAGTCGCCAGCATCACTCGGTTTTTGTACAGATTTACTCCTAAGGGGAATCGAACTTCAGCATCGGCGCTCCCCATCGAGCAATAACCCACTGAGCCACTCTATCTCCATAATTATCAACCCTATATTATTTTTTTATATTCTTATTTTTACATCAATGAATTATTTAAAGAAAAAAGAAAAAACAATAAATTATTCTAATTAATCTACATTAATCCATAAAGTTGAAATCCATAAAGCATTATAATCTTCAATGAGAATTAAGAAAACGCTTTTTTCTATAATAACAATGGAATATTTCGAATTGCTTGGAGATTATTAGAATTTATCGCTACCTTCAATCTTTTAAAAATTTGAATAACCAAAAAAACAATTGAAATACATTTTTCAAAAACATTAGTAATGGTGTTAAAATATTTCAGTTGGAAAAAAAAGAAATTTAAAAAAAAAGGAATTTAAAAAAGGAATTTAAAAGGAATTTAAAATTTAAAAAAAAACGTAGAATGTTTATTAAAATTCTCACAACTATTGGTTTAATTTTAAACACCATTACTAATTTTTTCACTAATCTTTTATCAGATTTTTATGATTTTGCCTGAATTCCTTTTAAGAAATCAGCCAAAATGTTTAAAAAAAATGTTGGTTATAGAAATTTGATAAGAAAATATTCATAGAAAAATTGACAATAATATTTAAAAAATCAATTGTTCATTCGTAAAAAAAAGGATTATTTCAAACATTATTTTTATTTACTTATACATTTACCAAAACTTTTCTTTTAAAACGATCCAAATAGTGGAAAAAATGAAAAATATAAAAAAATCCATACTGTGGAGCCGATTCTTTTTATTATTTATTAAAATATTAAAATATTATTAAAATATTGTCATTTTCTAATATTGTAAAAATATTTATAAAATGAATAAAAAATTGATTTCTGCATTTCCTTTATTATAAAAAAATTTTAACCATATTATTATAGAGGTGAAAAAAATGCAAAATATATACAAAATATTTATATACAAAATATTTTATATTTTTTATACAAAATTTTAAAATTGAAAATTTGACCAGAAGCTAAATTCATTTAAAATTGATATATCACTAATGATGAAAATTTTATTCGAACGGATCGATTGATGACGAGAAATTTTCTATCGCTAGAGGATAGTTTTCATCCAAGAAAACGGTTTGTCTGATAGAAATTCCTCGTAATAAAGAATAAAGAAAATAAAAAAGAGTGAAATGGCTTAGTTAGTTGTTGCTAAATTCGAAGCCGATTCCGAAGGTTCTTCTCCTGGTAAGAGTAAATCCAAAAATCCAAATGAAGCTGGGGATTCATCTTTTTTTGCTAAAGCCTCCTTACCGTATTTATCAGCTTTAGTTCTAGTGAACGAGCTAGCGAAGTGAACCCAACTAGCATTGGTGATTACTCTAAAAGAATAAAATTAAAAAAAATTTAATTAAATAAAAAAAATTTCTCAAGCCATTAGCCCTACTTGGTCCGATATTCTGATCTGGTGTTGTTAACCAGATAGAAGAGATGAATTCTTGAACTTATTTATCGTTCCAAATCATTGGCAATGACTTTAATTCGAAGAATCCCGACCATATGCCTCTTTAAATTTTCTATATGAAGGCTCTTGTTATGA